AGGCGGACAGTAGCTGTGGCCGTTCAATTAGAGGTATTGTCCTCACAGTCCACGCTGAGTAGGGACAGGATGTTTCAGGTGTCTGAACTTGTGTTTCCAAAGTGAAAAGTGTTTTATCATTCATGAAGTGTTTTTTGGTTACTGATATAATACTGTTGTCAGTTTGCTGTGAAATTCACTGTTTGAATTTAATTCAATGTTAAGAAATGAAGTGGTTACTAATAAACATGTCACACAATAGTATTTATTGACTTATCTGAGTGTATATACCTTCAATATTTGAGGTGAGGAGCTTACATTAACTTCCTTACATAATCCCAGTTTACCCTTACAAATATTGAATGTGTCCTATTTACATGGTCTTCATTTTGTAATAGGATAGCCAGAATGTTTCTCCTGTTGGCAGCTTGTCTCCTTCATGCCACATTGTGTGCATGAACCAATGACAAAAATGACATATTGTGATATTTATGTGTCTTACCACTCAGATGTTCCTGCTTTTCTGACTGTACGATGCATGTGCCACATGTGGACAAGCTGCTGCAGTTACAGGGTCCTGTGCTGGCTCTCTTATTACATATTATTCATAGCTGTGTAAAAATTAAACCTGAATGCTTAAAAAGTATACTACAATGTTAAGTATATTTCATAATGTAATGAAATAAATTACTACTAATATTAGCATGCTAATCATATTTCAACCACAGGTGTTATGTATAAATGACAGATGACAGATTGTTGACTGTTTTCTTTTAATTATGTTTTTTTTTTTTTACATGGTCGATAATCAAAGTCAGAGTAAAACACACAAACAAACTACCAATGAACAAGTTGATGAAAAGGCACCCAGTTTGATTAAAGCAGAATTACAAGAATGATGGAACGCAGCCTTCGCCAGATGAATGAGATCAGAACTCAAGAATGAAACATTACCAAGAAAACACACTAGAACAAAGAAACACAGGTATAGGAAATACAAAATAAAAACACTAGAAACTAAGCTAGGAGACAAACTGAAAATACAAACTACATAAGACCAAATCATGACAATACGTTGTTTTTAAGAGAGAGCCTCGTAGTTTAATTATTTCAAACTGATTGTATTTAATGAATTCATGTTTAAAATAACTTCAACAAAACATAAACTGAGAAGAAGACGAGCTTTTTATGGCTCATTAATTATTCATCATTAATGGATCATTGATTGTTAAGGTGTTCAAATATCGCTTAAGAAAAATGAGTGAAATTTGATTCTAATCATCAAGATGTTTTTTAAATCTACAGTCACAGAGATTCAGTGGTTAAGTCCTCAGTGGGAGTTCTTCTCTCAGTTCTGATGCATGCAAACTGTTTCTCAGTGAAAGTGTGTGTTGGTGTCAGACTCACTGTGATCCTCTGCAGCCTCTTCTTCACTCAGAGAACAGGGACAGACTCTACCCCCCACAGTGTCCCAGCTGTGAGTCCCTGAGTTACACCAAACAGATCTGAGCTCTGTCATAAAGACAACCAGAGACATCAGGACGACACAGTCACAGAGATCTTCTCTGGTAACATCTTCAGTGGAGTTTATCACCAGTGTAATGAATGGAAACATCCTCTCAGTGAAAGTGTGTCTGAAGGTGTGTATGTGTGTGTTAGTATCAGGATCAGAGAAGGACAGCTCTCCTCTGTTACAGTCCAGATTCACTCTGATCCTCTGAAGCTTCTTCTTCACTGAGAGAGCAGTGGATGGATGTGATGGGGTGTATGCTGTGTATTTACCACCATAGAACCGTATTGACCATAATCCAGACTGTATGTGTCCCTTCCTCTGTCCAGACTCTGCTAACACACCCAGAACCAGATGTACTGTCTCCAACCTGGACGTCCCAGCTGTGAGTCCCTGAGTTAAAGCCCTCAGAGCCCAGGACAGAGCCGTAATGATCAAACCTCTCTGGATTATCAGGAAGCTGCTGTCTCTCTCCTCGTGTCACAGGTCAGATCTTCAGACAGGATGAAGACTGGATGAGCAGTGTTTGGGTCCAGAATGACCGGACTGTAGGAGACCATGTCCTTCATCTTGTTCCAGATGTTGAAGCTCAGATTGCCCAGGTGTTTGGCCTGGTCTATCAGAGCTCCTGAGGGCAGCTGTGGATCCTCCAGCAGGGGGCGCTGCTGGACTCTTTCCACTGCAGCCTTGTAGTTTTTCAGGAATGAGACGTCTTCAGCTCTCAGCTCGTCCTCTGTGTCTCTGACTGTGTGTGAAAGAGCTGCTATCTCTCTGCTCAGAGCCTCCATCTCCTCCTTCATCCTCTGACTCTTCTGCTCCTCTTCCTCCCTCAGTGCACACAGCCTGGCCTCCTCTTCCTCTTCTAGAAACTGGTGAAGCTTCTTAAACTGCTCCTTAATCTGCCTCTCTGTGTGTCGGGCCTGGACCTGAATGTGTTCTGCTGTTTGATCAAACTTCACTTTAACTTCTTTAAAAACATTTAACTTCTTCTTTACCGGCTCCAGAGTTTCCTGAAGTTTCTTCTTGTGTTGTCCAGCAGCTTCATCGATGGGTCTGAATCTGTGATCAGAGTGTTTTTCTGAATCTCTGCAGACGAGACACACCGGCTCCTGATGGTCCAGACAGAAGAGTTTGAGTTTCTCAGAGTGCAGACTGCAGAGATCCTCTGAAGCTCTCTGATCTCTCTCCTGCACAAAACTCTCACACAGGTTCTTTAAAGTAAAGTTAGGAGGTAAGATATTTGAATGTCTCCTCTTACAAACCGGACACTCCTTGTTCTCCTTCTCCTTCCAGCAGTCCTTCACACACTCTCTACAGAAGCTGTGACAGCAGGACAGGATGACTGGATCTTTAAAGATGTCGAGGCAGACCGGACAGCTCAGATCTTCCTCTAACTTGGACGCCATTTTATCTCAAGCTGAAGACGAGGAGACGAACAGCTGGGAGTCACTCCCTGTCACTCAAAGTTCCTTTAATCTGTATTCTTTGTTCTTTTTTTTTTACTCTTATCCGGTTTGTGGATTCAGTTTCAGGTAAAAGTCCAGATTAGTGAGGTTACTTTGACACGAGGCTTTGAAGCGTGTGTCGAGTAGGAGGCACATTTCTTTCTTTCCTCACTTCGAGTCTACGTCATTGATCTGTTTGTGTTCAATGGGGATAAGAGGAAGTGAAACCCACTTGTCATGTCTCCTCGTGAGTTTGCGTTAGTTGGTTGTTGGGAGTTGTAGTTTTGGTTCTCTTTTTTTGGAGAAATGGAGCCTGTGAGAAAGAGGAAAACGTCTCCTGTTCGGGAGCATTTTGAGTTATAATCTCCCAATAAAGTAAACGTTAAAACCAGGCGCGGAGCCTGTGGGTCATTGCAGAGGGGGGGGGACCAATAGTGGGCCCATAAACTGTCTATAGGCTATATAGCATATGCTGTAGCCTATATAGTAATATAGTATATCATTTATGGTATAATATCGGCTGTATGGAGATACAAGACGGGGCGGGACGAAGAGAAATGCCGCTGCAGATTACAAAGGGTGTTATTACAGTGACAGGGACTTATCAGTGAGTGACCTGCTGATGTTTAAACAGAACAAGTGCTGATATGTCTGTGCGCATATTCCACCGATTAAACAAGTAAAGCAGACTTCATTAACCGGACGGGAAACCAAAGATAGAAGGCAACTACAGTTTAACATTCAGGGAAGTTGGACGCTCACCTATGGAGGACTAAAAGTGCCAAAATGAAATATATAAATATATAATTAATGAAATCATTAAATGTGTCATCAATTATTTAATATTGGAAATAAATCAACAAATATGTAAATAAATATATAATTATTTAATTAATTAAATGCATGTGTTATTAAATAATTAAATAATTATTTAAATGTGTCATTAATTATTTAAAATTGGTAATAAATAATAAATTTATGAAACACATCATTAATTAATGAAATGTTTAATTAATTATTTAAAATGTTAATTCATTTAATTATTTTACTATTTATTTAATTATTTCTCTATTTACTTTATCATTTCATGGTCCCTACACCAGCAGTGCATCATGAAATCATTTCATCAGTCACTGCTGCTCGTCAAAGTTTCTAACATCTGATTGGTTACTCAGCAAAGCAAGTCATGACAGATCGATCCCAGATAATGGATTGAAGCAGTGAATGCACTCCGATACGTTAGGTGACAGTGTTCATCCGTATATTCGTTTCGGTACGCTCTTCATTTGTCGCCGAAAAAATAGTTGCTGATGATACAAGTGAAGACGGATCAATCAGCTCACCATTGGTGCAAAGTGTTAGTGCAGGATGTCCAAAAGCTCTCCGGAGCACAGGTACAGCAGATACCTGTCGCTACACCACGTACACCTGTTCAAGGTAGGTAAGGATAGCCAGATGTGCTTCTAAACGAAGCTAGCTAGTCGGCAGAATGGTGTTAGCATGTCAGCAGCCCTGAAGTTGGACTTTTATCACTTCTTTCTTTTTAGTTGTTGTTTGCTTTCTTTATTACATTTATCAGGACTTAAGGATGTTTTAGCTGAGTGGCGATCATGGGAGCTGTAACATTTTCTCTGTGTTGCAGCCGAAGTAGCAAGGCTGTTTGCTCCATACAACAACAACAACAACAACAACAACAACAACAACAACAACAACAACAAGGCTGATAAAGTTCCAAGCATTCAGCTTAAAGCAGACCTTCTTGCTTCAGGACTTGGAGAACAAAGGTGATCTTTTCAGGTGCGTCTGAAACAAGAACTTTGACAAAGCACTGAGTCCTGACATTAGTAGGAGTTGTATTTTTAATTTCATTTTATCGCCATTTGTGTTCACCTATTTTACATATTAGACTCAAACTTTAATGACGTGATTTTCTTGGTGTGTATTTGTTATCACAGCTTAGCTTTTGGTATTTGAGTTAATGTGCATTATGTATATTTACAGGAAATGACAACGATCCCATGGTTGTAACAAACAAACTGATGGAGGTGTTTCCAAAGCTGCAAGAAGGGGGAGGCTTTGAGTTTCTAAAAATTGCAGGATCTACTCGCAGTCGAAATCTTGGACTTCTTCAATGTCCCAGCACAGGATACACCCTTACCTATCTAAAAGATCCATCTCCAACAATTGGACAGGCTACAATTGACATACGCCCACTTCAACAGGACCTACCCATTGATTCAGTATGGAAATTTACACTGTCACCATTTGATACATAGTTCAAATAAATTGCACTGTGGAGTTTTAATCAATACTTAACAGATTTGTTGTTCTTAGGAAAGCTCGGGACATGCCTCTGGTCCAGAAGGAGGTTCCCTTCTCTGAAATGAAACTGCACCGAGCTAACTGGATGGCTATGCACTTGTTAAAGATATATAAGAATTACATATTCATTTTTCAATAAGAAATGTCTTTTTAGTTTTTGTGCACACAGATGAGAGGAAATGACTATAACATTTTCTGAACTTCAAGGACCCCCATGCAGGAAACACATAGAGAAGGAGAGGGAGACCGTGGTGAGGAGAATGATAGAGAGCCACCCACTGACAGGGACAGCGTTCCAGTGAGGCCTGAAACATCTGTAGAGAGTGAAGTAGAACCAGTAGTGATTGAAAGTGAGAAGATTGATCTTAAAGAACTTGACAATGCTTTGTGTCATCACAGTAGGAATGCTATAATATTGTGCATGATTAGAACTCAGTCAATAGAAGAATAACACCTTTTAACCATAATAAATAACGACTAGAAGACATGCCATTATCACTGCTGTTTTATAGAACCTTAGAAACACTTCCTCATACAGTTCACAGACTCCACATCTAAGTGAAGCTTGGTTGACTTCAAAACAGCAAATAAGCATCATTCTGATGAAAGTCAAGTAGAAATGGACTTTCCTAGTATCTATTAAAAGGCTGTTGGATTCTGTCACATTTTTCAGGTGTTCCTCCTTTTCTGTTGATTGGGAGTTTATCTGCATTTAACATGCAAAGTAGTTACATTTATTTTTCTTCTTGTCTAGACTGGAAGATTATTAAAGAACCAACTCTGGCTGCCCAAGTTTTCAAAGATAATCTACTAAGTGAACATGCAACCGGGAAGCCTCTTAAACTGAAAATGGATGTAAGGGAGCGTGAGGAGGACAGGGAACGGGCACTTCTCTCATTCTATAAACAGCAACAGGAATGGGCATGTCCACTTCATTGTACCCTTGATGGTTAGTAGAATAGAGTTCATAATATAAATATATCCTGTTACATTAATATCAATTCTATGTCTTATATGGAATGGTATTAGTGGTTTACTGGTCCCATCAGGTCATTTGGCTGATATTAATCATTATATGATAATCTGCATTGGCTGTTCATGCTGTCTGCATAACAGTTCATGTGTTTGTCCTTCCTTCCTAAAACTTGTCAAGCACCTATAGCCTTGTTACAGCTTGTTTCTAGTGTGTTATTAACAGTATACAGTATTCTTTTTTTATAGGTGATGCTGCTGTTGGACAGGGAGTGATGCGGTACTTTCTGACAACAATAATATCCAAACTCCAGTTTGGATTCAGAATGAATCTTGGTAAATGTGCTACTATTCAGGTTAATGTCATGCATTTTAAAAGTTAATTGTTTGATTTGAAGCCCTGCTCTGTTGGTACTTACAGGAGGAGTGGGCCAAACTCTGCTATTTGAAGGTGAGCCTGACCATCTCGTTCCAGCTGCATCAGAGGTGCTTATTGAGAGCAACCTCTTCCGGGTTGCAGGAAGGATGATAGCCCACTCCTTTTTGCATGATGGCCCCCATGTCACCGGATTAAGTCCTGCTGTTATTCATGTACTGTTCAATGGGGACCCTGAAATGTCAACAATTGTTGTCGAGGACTGTCCTGATCTGCACATCAGGAGTATTATAACAATGGTATGTAACACACAAACAAAAAAACCTTTGCCTTGCAAAATTCCTGGACAGGTGTAATACCTTTTATGATCCAAACTGTAGCTTGAACTTGAAGAACTTACTCAGGAACAGAAGGACACAGTGTCAGATCTTTCCCTGTCTTGGGATCTCCCAGCAGTCACTAAAACGAATCAGAGGTGGCTACATAACAAACTTCTAGTACACGCGGTGAGTTTCTCCTGCTGATTTGGTGAATTCTCCTTCTGAAATTGAACTCATCCCCCATTTATCCATCAATTATGTTTCAAGCTAAGCAATTCTATCACGTCTGCATTTCTTTTGCACATCTGTATTTCAATCACAAACTAATTGGAACTGCAGGCAGGATTATTACAGAACCTAAACACTCTTTAACTTGTAATCTGGGCAGGGAGTGGTTTGGTGTTGCAATATGAAAGGATATAATTGGGGAAAAATACATCTTAAGCACTGCATTAGAGTTTTATAAACACTTTCTACTGTGCTGACTTTTGTAGAATTTTAATATTTGGTCAGTAATATGGGTTTGGCCTTTCTTGTAGGTCATCGGGAGGACCATGCGCCAAATTAAACAGTTGAGAAAGGGATTGAAAGATGTGATGCTATGGCCCCTGCTGACATCAAGGCCAGATGTTGTCCCACTTCTTTTTCTGAAAATGGCAGGAATGCAGTTTGTACCCCAGGTGATTTAGTACATCCAACTTATTAACAATACTTAAAATATTAATAAATGTGTGTGCAAATCTTATTGTCTAATTTACTGAGCTGGATATTTTCTCAATTACCAAGACTGTAATCTATATTCCTTTTCATCAGTGCTGAATTATAAATTATCCTAGACACCAAAATACTTTTCAAACTTTTTTTTTTCAGATGTTCCTAGACAAAATCACATGGCCTGTGGAGGACAGTGATGATGAAGAACTTGACATTGAGTGCAAGTGCCGCATCACTGGTTTTCTACGGATGTTCATTGAAACAGGTATAGCTATCTTATTTTGCAATTTATTTTCATGTTTACCAATGTCTCTATGTCCCATAAACATCTCACTTAACACTGTAGAATATATGAAATGCATAGGGATTTGAACAGTTACAGTGCACTGTGTTCTTAATCCACTTTATGACCTTTTAGCTTCATCAGATACTCTGGCTCAGTTGCTGAAGTTCTGGGTCGGCTGGGAAATGCTCCCTCCAGAACTCAAAGTGGAGTTTTCCGGGGGAACCTTCCCATCATCCTCCACATGCTTTGAAACACTGAAGCTGCCAGCTCATTACAACACCTACAAAGACTTTGAGGAAGCACTTGTTGCTGCCATAGACAGTGCACACACTGGATTTGCTCTTGTTTAAGTATTTTCAGGCAATGATGTTGCTGTGCTTTTATTCAGTAGAAAAAGGTCAATTTGAGTGAAGTGAGTTCAGTGTTTTTCTAACATTTCAAATACAGTGCAGTATTTTCTTTCCCTGAAAATGACACTGCTTTGTTGTTGCTCTTCTGTCAACTGTTTGATACTTCAGTGTGCATCACCCTGCTGTCCTTGCCTGTTGTCATTGGCTGTTGAAATATCTCTTGATGCTAGAAAAATTGGTTTTATTTGCATTAAAACAGCATATTATTATTTCAGATTTTTATTGACAAATCAAGTTAACTAATTCATGAGTGACATTTGCACAATAAATAAAATAAAAGGCCTGGTTAAGATATCAGTCTCCAATGATTCTTGACAAAACTTGCACTGTCTCCAAATATGATCCAATTGCATCATTTAAAGAAACTCCTGAAACTGGCAAAATGGCAACCTCTTCATCTGAGAGCTCACGGGCCATCTGAATCTCAGGAACTGACACAGTGTCTCCATGCTGATTGTGAGGCCCATTCCAGTCGATCCCATAGTCTTCATAAACCTGAACAGAGGATAACCTTGATTGACATATTGTTTAAACTACTATGACATGTCATCACACAAGATTCATGAGATTGATCATTGGTCCTTATGTTGGTGACAAATTAAGTTTTAGGCACTTTGCTGCTCAGATGTTGTTCTGTCAGAGCTCAGGAGACAGAAGAGATTCTCATGTTTCATTCAAAAACAAGAACAAGTGATAACAGAAACCCTTTTATTAAAATATAGTGGGTCCAATTATCATCTGTCTGAAATGTTTCTTCTAAGAAATTTGAGGAAAAATAAATCTGCTAAACATCAGTGACAAACACCTGTATCTCCTGACCAACAAAATATGAATATATTTTCAAAAGGTTTCAATAATAGTGTAAAACTACTATCTTTTTTTTAACCTCTGCAGGATCCTCCATGGGGCCTTGCTCTCTGTATCTTCTCCAGAGTTCATTAGGTGATTGATTCCTTTCAGTTCTAAGTCCATGAAAGTTCCAAGCATCTCTGAAGGAGCTGAGGGTTCTCTGAATTTGGGGAAGGAAGATCCGGTGCAGGGCATAAAGATGGACTTGGTTGTCTGGATTGAGTGTTCCCTGATCTTCCAATGAAGTGAAGATCTGATAGAAGAGGTCTAGGGCATGCTCATAAACATCTCTCCACATCCTCTCTATTCTGCAATTAGAATGCAATTGACAAATTGTTAATTAATATATAATCTCAAGCTTTAAAATACATTGAGCTGCTATGGTTTGTACAAGCAGTGGTGGACAGTAACGGAGTACATTTACTTGAGTATTTGTTTTTTTGGAAACTTGTGACTTTCACTCCACTACAAGATAAATATTGTGCTTTCGACTCCACTACATTTCTAGGAAGCTCGTCGTTACTGGTTCCTTTTAGGCTCAGCATAGCTTTGTAGTCAGCTGTTGGTGTTTTTCTTTTCTAAAATGCAATTGGCCTCACGCTGTGCTCCTCATAGAAGGGAACCAATCACAGTCACCGCTCACACATGGGATGGATTTGGAAATACGTCATCAACGCTCAGTGTAGCAAGCTCTCCCGCCTTCATTCAAACAAAACTCGGCAATGGAGATGGCAGGAGAAGCTGAGGAAAGAGACTAAATGTGCACCATCTTTTAGGGATTTCCATCACTTTCCACAGACATGGAAAAATGCAGGTTACAGATTTTATTAAGGCAAGGGTTATGTTGCCATGTAGCCAAGTGGTTCAACTGGATGATGAGTTCATGAAAGCAGAGTTGCAGTTTGTTCGCAGTAATGGACTGAACAGTAAACTTGCAACTCCCCCACAGTGAATGTACGGGGAGAAAAAAAAGGCCCTCCTGTTTTTTTTGGGTGGGGATGTTTAAATAAAAAAATTAAATGACAATAGCTGTCCTTATTGTTTTTGATTGCATTTTTACGCTGAAGTTTTTACAGGTGTTTCTATAGACTTGTAAGTCAATACATCATTAGGTGGTTTCAGAGAGTTACAAGGTTCTGTGTAAGCACTGAGAAAACAATACAGCAATGCACTGATATTAGAAAATGTACTTTGTACTTTTGAATACTCAAGTATTTTTAAAAGTAAGTACTTTAGTACTTTAACTTGACTAAAATCTTGACCGAGCAACTTTTACTTGTAGTTGAGTAAGATTTGACCACGAGTATCAATACTTTGACTCAAGTACTGGAGTTGAGTACTTTGTCCACCACTGTGTACAAGTAGTCACCAAACAGATATATTTGACCTACCGCTGATTGTGTACACTTCTGCCTGTGATGTGAGAGTTCCTGTTGGTACCTCTGCTCCTGATCATGAATTCTGCTACGTCTGAATTCTCTCTTCCTTTATCAGACCGTACCCTTGACGGCAGCCCGTACTGCTGAACGGCATTGATAAAGCTCTGTAGGACAGTGCTAGCCCTGTTATTGCCAGCCACATTCAGGTAGACCACCAGTCGACTGAATCCGTCCACCCCACCATGGACAACAAATCTCCACCTGTCAGACAGTTTTGAACACAAAAAAGCTTTAATGTGATCATTTCTTTGGACATCTATAGAAAGTTGCATTGTTTATCAACTAATATCACTGATACCTTATAAGCTTGTGGTGACCATCTATGTGCCATAAAGAGTTTGGGCCAGGAACAGAATACTGCCGTCGTCTTGTTACATGCAGCCGTAGACGTCTCATGTACACTCCCTCAGCATCCACTCTGTGCAAAGACTCTCAGTCTTGAGACTTTAGAGCAGAAAATAATCATACACTCATTTGCTATTTATTTAAAAAAACACTTAAAAATCTAACTGAGAAATACTGGAAAAAAAATACCAGAGTTTCAAATATTTAGAAGTATTTTGATAGTGTTAGGGTGTTAATAAATAAATAATAATAAATGGCAACACCATGGATGTGTTGTTCACGCCTTGGATACCACATGTTTTAAAACGACACAACCTCTATTAACTTCATGTTTGATATCGAATGTTTGAATTTGTAAATCCAGTACAAAACCACCACAGTCTCAAAAATGACCAGAGTTCACCTTATCTATCATCAACATGATATATAAAACTTCATAATAACAGGATACAAATCTGGATTTACCCTGGAAATGAGTTTCAGATATATCAGCCGCTACGTTGCAAAAGAATACACACATACATGAGCCTTACCTTAACAATATATATTCTCATTGACCTTGCGCCTAGTTCATGGTTATTTATATTTATTCATATTGGATCATACTCACTTGGAACACGCACACCTCTAGCATTCAAATGTCCACGCATTAGCTTGTAGCCGGTGTTTGGACACTTCTGTGGACTTCGCTTACAATACGGTCCAACTCCTCATCAGCAACAGGTGTAGAGATCTGTCTTTCTGAGCAGACCAACAAACTACATGTTACATTTCACTTAAAATGAAGGACTCTCTCTCTCTCTCTCTCTCTCTCTCTCTCCTCTCTCTCTCTCTCTCTCTCTCTCTCTCTCTCTCTCTCTCTCTCTCTCTCTCTCTCTGTTCTGTCTCTCTCTCCCTCTCTCTCTCTCTCTCTCTCTTTCTCTCTCTCCCTCTCTCTCTCTGTCTCTCTCTCTCTCTCTCTCTCTGTCTCTCTCTCTCTCTCTCTCTCTCTCTCTCTCTGTCTCTCTCTGTCTCTCTCTCTCTCTCTGTCTCCCTCTCTCTCTCTCTTCTCTGTCTCTCTCTCTCTCTCCCTCTTCTCTCTGTCTCTCTCCCTCTCTCCCTCTGTCTCTCTCTCTCTCTCTGTCTTCTGTCTCCTCTCTCTCTCTCTCTCTGTCTCTCTCTCTCTCTCTGTCTCTCTCTCCTCTCTCTCTCTCTCTCTCTCTCTCTCTCTCTCTCTCTCTCTCTCTCTCTCTCTCTCTCTCTCTCTCTCAGTCAGAAACTGGATCGTTTCTGCTCTTGAGGTGTTGAAGGGCTGCTTGTGTGTGTGTGTGTGTGTGTGTGTGTGTGTGTGTGTGTGTGTGTGTGTGTGTGTGTGTGTGTGTGTGTGTGTGTGTGTGTGTGTGTGTAATTCAAGTGTATGCTTGTATTTTTTTTTTCCTTTATACCCTATTCCTATTTCTCTCCTTCACTCCATTTTTCTTTTCTTTTCTTCTTTTTTTCTCTCCTCCTTTTCTTCTTTCCCCTTTCCTCCCTTTCTTTCTTTCTATATATATTATTATTTTTATACTTCAGTCATTGTGTGATGCAGGGGTCAGGGCCAGCTGATAGGGGTCGCCTACTGCTACCCTCCCACAAGCTTGAACAACCCCCAGACCTGATGGGAGGGGATCTGTTTGTGTTGGTGCTCGGAGGTATCATCTGATTAAGTTCTTTAAGGCACAGTATTTTTTTTTTTTTTTTTTTTTTAAAGTATTTGTATGTTTTTGTATTTGTTATTATTATCGTTGTCCTGAAGTTGATCCTTTTTTAACCTTAGTGTTTAGAGATACACCACTGGACCACTGAGAGGATGGAGGCACCAGGAGGGCTAGAAAGCATATTCAAAACAAAGGGAAAGAAGAAAACTAGAATAACTGAGGAATGATCAAATAAAAAAGAACAAAAAAAGTGGGTAATGGACCATTTCAATTGTGTTCCAGTGTAGTGTGTTGTTGGGTTATGTATTGATGACAGTAGTAGAAATAGTGCAGATCATGTTGTAGTAATAATAATGTCATTTGTCCGGATTGTTTGACTATGATTTGTTAGTGTATCATTTTAATTCTCATTAAAGCGTAGTTTTTAAGACTCTTTGATTGAACATTTCCCCGCCTGTGGGTTTGGCGCTTGGCGGGTGTTAATGTCTGACCCTGCTGATACGTTGTATGATTTAATCTTTGACCACATGAAGTCGTAAACTCAAGTCAAACTTTGTCCTTTTCCTCGCGCCTCCTCTCGTTTGTTGGTTAGGAGACCTTTGTGACGTCTTATCAGACAATGCAGCGTTTATTTCTTCTTCTAACACGTCATCACCAGCGTCTCTCTCTGAACGCTGTCACATGTTCCCTCCAACAATCATCAGCCTGACGTGGTGGAGGGTTCAAGTCCCTGTGAGCCCTGTCCCTCCTCTAATGAATCTGTTCAAACGGTTAAAGTGTTCAATAACGGACACGTGATGTTCATCAGGTCGTTGACCTTCAATCATTAACCCCGTGTTCTCCAGAGCTCGTTGGATCTCTGAATCTAACTCCTCTCCGACCTGACGGACGAGTCAGAGACGACACTGATCCACTGGATCTGAAAGGTTCAGGTCGCAGGTTTAGACTGGACTTAAAGAAACACCTGAAATAATCAGAATAACTTTATAATGACTGACAGAGACAAACTCCTCTCTCAGGAGAGACACTCCTCCATGATGACTTTTACAAGATCAATGAAACACAACACGAGTCATAAAGACGGATTCAGATCAAGAAACTTTATTAATGATTACAGGAACAGGATTCCACACTAACCACATATTAAACTCTTTGTTGTTCTAAAGAACGTAAAGCGTTCTTCAGAGGAGGGTTCATCCTCTGAACATGAAGATGGTAAAGAAATATGAACAGTCTTCAGGTCTTATATTTGACATTTCAAACATGATAACAAACCCACAGAGCCGAACCTTTACAGGATGAAGCTCCAGAAAGACTCAAACTCAGAACAGGTGATAAGGACAGTTATACGTGTCACGTTCAGGGAAAAACAAGGAACTGGACCCACGTGCAGAATTAACTAAATATATTTAATAAACAAAAACTTACTTCCAAAAGTTCAACAAAAAAACACAGGGATCAAAAACAGAGAGCCACACAGGAGCACGAGCAAAAACTGACAAATACCAACAAACAATGAACTGACACAGAGGACAAGAAACACAGAGACTAAATAGAACATGGGTAATCAGACACAGGTGAGACTAACGACACAGGTGAAGACAATGAGGGTCATCAACACGGAGGGAAACACACAGAGGCAGGAATACAATACAAGAAACACTGAGGACAACTACAAACTAAATCATGAAACACTAAAAGACACACAGAACTCAAGAATGAAACATTACCAAGAAAACACACTAGAACAAAGAAACACAGGTATAGGAAATACAAAATAAAAACACTAGAAACTAAGCTAGGAGACAAACTGAAAATACAAACTACATAAGACCAAATCATGACAATACGTTGTTTTTAAGAGAGAGCCTCGTAGTTTAATTATTTCAAACTGATTGTATTTAATGAATTCATGTTTAAAATAACTTCAACAAAACATAAACTGAGAAGAAGACGAGCTTTTTATGGCTCATTAATTATTCATCATTAATGGATCATTGATTGTTAAGGTGTTCAAATATCGCTTAAGAAAAATGAGTGAAATTTGATTCTAATCATCAAGATGTTTTTTTAAATCTACAGTCACAGAGATTCAGTGGTTAAGTCCTCAGTGGGAGTTCTTCTCTCAGTTCTGATGCATGCAAACTGTTTCTCAGTGAAAGTGTGTGTTGGTGTCAGACTCACTGTGATCCTCTGCAGCCTCTTCTTCACTCAGAGAACAGGGACAGACTCTACCCCCCCCCACAGTGTCCCAGCTGTGAGTCCCTGAGTTACACCAAACAGATCTGAGCTCTGTCATAAAGACAACCAGAGACATCAGGACGACACAGTCACAGAGATCTTCTCTGGTAACATCTTCAGTGGGAGTTTATCAAAAGTGTTAATGTATGGAAACATCCTCTCAGTGAAAGTGTGTGTGAAGGTGTGTATGTGTGTGTTAGTATCAGGATCAGAGAAGGACAGCTCTCCTCTGTTACAGTCCAGATTCACTCTGATCCTCTGAAGCTTCTTCTTCACTGAGAGATCAGTGGATGGATGTGGTGGGGTGTATGCTCTGTATTTACCATCTTTGAACCATATTAACCATAATCCAGACAGTTTGTCTCCCTTCCTCTGTCCAGACTCTGCTAACACACCCAGGTTCCAGAGTGTATTGTCTCCAACCTGGACGTCCCAGCTGTGAGTCCCTGAGTTAAAGCCCTCAGAGCCCAGGACAGAGCCGTAATGATCAAACCTCTCTGGATTATCAGGAAGCTGCTGTCTCTCTCCTCCTACTAGTGTCACACAGGTCAGATCTTCAGACAGGATGAAGACTGGATGAGCAGTGTTTGGGTCCAGAATGACCGGACTGTAGGAGACCATGTCCTTCATCTTGTTCCAGATGTTGAAGCTCAGGTTGCCCAGGTGTTTGGCCTGGTCTATCAGAGCTCCTGAGGGCAGCTGTGGATCCTCCAGCAGGGGGCGCTGCTGGACTCTTTCCACTGCAGCCTTGTAGTTTTTCAGGAATGAGACGTCTTCAGCTCTCAGCTCGTCCTCTGTGTCTCTGACTGTGTGTGAAAGAGCTGCTATCTCTCTGCTCAGAGCCTCCATCTCCTCCTTCATCCTCTGACTCTTCTGCTCCTCTTCCTCCCTCAGTGCACACAGCCTGGCCTCCTCTTCCTCTTCTAGAAACTGGTGAAGCTTCTTAAACTGCTCCTTAATCTGCCTCTCTGTGTGTCGGGCCTGGACCTGAATGTGTTCTGCTGTTTGATCAAACTTCACTTTAACTTCTTTAAAAACATTTAACTTCTTCTTTACCGGCTCCAGAGTTTCCTGAAGTTTCTTCTTGTGTTGTCCAGCAGCTTCATCGATGGGTCTGATTGTGTGTTTGTGTGTTTTTCTGAATCTCTGCAGACGACACACACCGGCTCCTGATGGTCCAGACAGAAGAGTTTGAGTTTCTCAGAGTGCAGACTGCAGAGATCCTCTGAAGCTCTCTGATCTCTCTCCTGCACAAAACTCTCACACAGGTTCTTTAAAGCAAAGTTAGGTAATAAATCCTTTGACTGTCTCCTCTTACAAACCGGACACTCCTTGTTCTCCTTCTCCTTCCAGCAGTTCTTCACACACTCTCTACAGAAGCTGTGACTGCAGGACAGGGACTGGATCTTTAAAGATGTCGAGGCAGACCGGACAGCTCAGATCTTCCTCTAACTTGGACGCCATTTTATCTCAAGCTGAAGACGAGAGACGAACAGCTGGGAGTCACTCCCTGTCACTCAAAGTTCCTTTAATCTGTATTCTTTGTTCTTTTTTTACGTTCTTATCCGGTTTGTGGATTCAGTTTCAGGTAAAAGTCCAGATATTCCCAGTGTTCCCAGTGTTCCCTCCTGCAGCGGTCTGGTTTTGCTCTGAAGGTGAATCTTAATGTCAGTCCTTCATGGCGTCTCGTCTCAGTGACTCAGAATAACAACCTTTGTCCAGTTGTCTCAGGTGAGTCAGGTGAGGGGGAGGAGATTTATCACTACAGCTTATCAGGTTCAAGTTTCATAAAATAACTTTGTGATCATTGGTGACTCACCAACAGAGAGGCGGGGTTACACGTAGAGTTTAAAACGGGTTAAAACTGGTTCAGATAGAAGTGATTGTACCCGAC